ATGAACGAAGTTGAAAAAAATATTGTTTGTACTTCATTACTAGAATTATAAATCCCATTTTACAAAATTTCGATTGATCTCTTTATTACGCAAAAAAAAATTTCCGAAATATGCGTATTTTTTTCGTGCTCTACAGTGTGATACCCCCTTAAATTTTATATCAATGAAATATAGAATTAGAATTAGATGATACTAATTTATTATAATCGAATGTAGTCATTCTGTCACACAATATTATTTAGCAAGTTTTCATCGATAAATGTGTTGCATAACGCAAGACTGATAAAGGAGGTTAACGTAAAAGAGGTCACAGATAATAGATTTTTAGATGCGCAAACATTCATCGCGTTACAGTTTATTAAGCAGAATTGAGTAATCAAACTATATAATTAAAAACTTTATTCATTTATTTATCATTTATTTATTAATAATAAAGATAATTTTAAAAATACTACGTTCTGTTTTAAATCCTTAGTATTATTTATAACTATAATTTGCAAGCAAAATATGTAGAAGATTTGTAATCCATTTTTTTTCAACATGTAATATATAAAAATATGCTTTTATTGTCAATCAACAGTACAGAAATGCATATTACATTAGAATATTTCATACATATATATGTAGAGAAGTTTTAACATTTACGTACTATAAAATCCTGAGTCGTACAACGGAAGTAATCACATTATCACTGATTTTAAAATTTTTGATGGAAAGGTGGATGATTTGTGACATCGCATTCTTCATCCGGTAAACGCTGACAAGTGGGTACAGGAGGTACCTCGCAAATGCATTTAACGCACACAGAACTATAATCTGTAGCTTGATTCAACTCATCGCCGCGGTGCATGGTCATATTGCCGAAATGACAAACGTCCTCATCTAAAAAGAACAAGTCTTAATAAGACATCAAGAGACACGGTAGTGTCTCGTGCTAAGTACGCGCGCAGCGCGAGACCGCCCTTTACACGAACGGACGAGTTGCGAGTACCCGAGATTTTGAGATCTCAATAATGACTGAACGGGTCGAGTTCTGACCTGAGTGTTTGCTTTACGCGATAAAATTAACTTTAAGATATTATATATCTCTTTGAGTATTTTATTATTGCATAAATCTAACTAACAATCTAACTAACAATTTCCAAAATCAAAATATAAAAAAAAAATTTTTAAAATAGATAAATATAAATAAAATAAAATTGTTTTTAACGAACAAACATCATACGCGCTAAGGCGTGTCAGTTAACACGTCGCATCCGTACACTAGGAAAAAAAATTAGTGCCTTCAACAAAACTGTTTCGTTAAGACGTTTTTTAAAAGCAACCAAATATCTTGTTTTCCATAACAAAATATTTAGTTACTTCTGCTAAATGTATTTTTCTGATTTGTTCTGTGGACCAAATAATTTGTTGACTTCACATACAAAAATTAAGCATTTTAGTTATTTACCGTAGAAACTCATAATAATGAAATTTTCGGTAATTGTATAGATGGGGGGGATCACCTTGGATGACCTTGATATTTTAGTATGTTGTCAAGGTCACTCTCCTGAGTGACCTTCAGAAGGTTTTAGTCCGCGCTCGTTATTCGTTAAAAAGTTATTAACAAAAAATGTTTCGAAAATATAGCAGTTATTTTGAGTATTGGAAGGCATAAATGACTAATATATACGTGTGTGTGCCCTGTTTTAAAGAAAATCACAACTTCTACAAAGCAGAACATACATGTGTGCATGTGCGTGTGCGTGTGCGTGCGCGTGCGCGTGTGCGTGTGCGTGTGCGTGTGCGTGCGCGTGTTCCTGTGCGTGTGTGTGTGCGTGTGCGTGCGCGTGCGCGTGTTCATGTGCGTGTGCGTGTATGTTCTGCTTTATAAAAGTTGTGATTTTCTTTAAAGCAGGGCACACACACGTATATATTAGTCATTTATGCCTTCCAATACTCAAAATAGCTGCTATATTTTTGAAACATTTTTTGTTAATAACTTTTTAACGAATAACGAGCGCGGGCTAAAACCTTCTGAAGGTCACTCAGGAGAGTGACCTTGACAACATACTAAAATATCAAGGTCATCTAAGGTGATCCCCCCCATCTATACAATTACCAAATTTTCTTTTACATAAACTAAAATAATGCCCAATAAGTACAATTTTTTTCTATGCATTAAAATTTAGACTTGATATCTCCGAATCTCAAAGTAAGTGATTCTAAAGAGTAGTAAAGAGTAATGCATGCTAAACACGAATCCAGTGCAGTTTTTTTATTTTTATTAATTTCTATTATTTTATAAGCGACCAAACCTAAAACTTGTGTTTGGGGCGAAGTCGTGACCAAGCCATAACGAAGTTAAGAAAGCTAAATAATATGTGCTGCGTATGCTCGGAGATAATAGAAAACAGAGCCGATGAAAAACAGTGCATTTCGTGCAGGCGTAAGGCACACAACGAGTGCGTGCGCTCGTCAGACTTTGTTTTTACACGCTTTAACTGTTAGCGAAAGAGAAAATTGATTTTCTTGAAATTATTTTCCGCTTTCCATTTTTCTACTAAAAAACAATGAATAAAGTGTATTCTATTATTTTTTATGATCAAAATTATGTATCTTTATTTAAAATCCACTCCGAGAATGAAGACACGACTCCGCCCCGGAAATTTTGATTTTTCGATTTTTGCACCTTTGTCGTTTTTACTCTATACCGATTGAACAAAGCGACGTAAACCAAAAATGCCTATATAAATTTTGTAGCCAAGGGTTCACTCTTTACAATGGTATACTATATTTCACTAAAATTGAATGATTTATTTTGTTAAAAATCGGCACCGAAAAAATAGGGTCAACTTCGCCCCGGTCTCCCCTACTAATAAAATATTATAATACTCGCAATAAAGCAATTTACACTACCAAACGCTTTGTTCTCCATAACAAAATTCATATAGTTAAAGATTTTTGGTTGTTACAACAAAAGCATTACGTTATAAGAACAAAATATTAGCAACAAAGATATATATTTACAGCAATTAAACGAGTTTTGTTGGGCATATTTTAACCAAATTATTTTATTGTTAAAACAAAATTTTGGTTCGTACAACAAAACATTTTTCCTAATGCATAATTAGTATCGCTTGAATGTTCAAATGTGTGTCGATGCGTCATTTATGTTTCAGTTCCACGGTCTTACATACAGGTCTGGAAACTCTAGTGGTGGGGGATGGTCGCCTTAGCGACGAAGAAAATAACTCGCTTTGTGACCGTAAGAGTCGCTGCCATCGGTCAGTGTATTATGTGGTAGGACAAGGACGGAAATAGTAATTAGTAAATTCAAAATCGTGAGTGTCAAATAGGCAATAATTGAAGTTTCAAATGAGGAAAGGAATAATAAATAACTTTGTATTAAGAATAAAACGTTGGAAATCTTTTTATTCGTTTCTTTATAAGGACAAATACTGACCGAGCGATACTGAGGGAATAAAAATTCTGCGTGAAGCATATATAATACTGTGCCTTCCTAGTGTGTTTTAGATTGCTAAATGAACAATATAGACAACACGATTTTTGTTTTACAATAGTTAGTTATTTCGACCAAGCTCTTTTTCATCCTTTATTTGGAATCTAATTATAATAAAACAATAAGAAATAATTTACTTTGTAAGATATAATGTTATTTTATGGAAAAGAAATATCTCTCTTCGAATACAAACGATATCAATAAACAATATCAATATAAATTGTTTCTTATAACGAGAAACTTAATTCTAACGAACACCGGATCATAAAAAAACGGAAGGCCAATTATACGAATGCGCAAATTAATAAATTGATATATAATTTATTCTTAATTTACAATATTTAAAGATGACGCGTGATTCTCGGTATGAGAGCGGTTGACTTGTATTAATTCTGATTCTTACCTTACGTATGCCTTGGTTTTATAAGATTAATTAGAAAGTTGAAGGCTATGAGTAAAGGAATATGAAGTAAATAATAATTACCCGTTTCGAGAATCCATAGTTAATTTACAGGTTTCAATATTTATATACATTCTTATTCCAAAAAATATCAATGTAGTTGTACACATAATCAAGGTCAATATCGACCTTTTTACTGTGACTAGTTACAGTTATTTAAAGAAAGAAAATGTCATATAAAAAAAGATTTACATGAGAAAGATGTTATTTTCAATCCATGTCGCTGTCCATGTCCTCAGGAGCCGAAGAAAGTATTTCAACTTAGCTCAAAGAAATAATAAATGACTTTGCATTAAGAATAAAACGTTAGAAATCTTTTTATTCGTTTTAAGAAAACCATTTAAATACATGCAAGTGCGAGGCATTTTTTGCAAAACACGATTTAACATATCGAATAAGATGAAAAAAATGGTGGTTTGCATGCTTCAAACCACCGCGACTTTTCATGTTTACAAATTCAGCGACTGAGGATGTGCATTATATGTCATTTTCAAAAATGCACTTGAATTAAGCGCAATTAAAAAATTGTTGTCACGTTACCATGGGTTACCATCTACACTTCGCGATGACAGCGATGCATAGTGACAACGCCGTGAAATAAATTCTTCCTTGCTAAAACGACCATCCCCCACCACCGAAATCGGTCTGAGTTTCCAGACCTGTATGTAAGACCGTGTTCAGTTCAATAAGCGAATTAGCTTGTATAAAATATATCTTTACATTTTTTCTATGAGTCAATAATTAATAAAATTAATAAAAGACTAGGTCAAATTCTCAAGAGTATTATCTTGGATCGTTTAAAAACATTATATTTCTATAATGTTAAATATGAAACGTACCATCAAGATTTTTGTCGGCAGACTTCAAGTCGTCTTCTTTGTGAATAACAGTGTCGTTGTTGTTTTCTATAAAACTCGATAATTAATCGTTATTGCTTATAGATAACATTGACACACGCACGCACACACGCACGCGCACACACACACACACACACACACACACAGACACACAGACGCGCGCGTGCAAAATCACACTCGTGAACTTACGACATCTCGAAAATACGCTGCAACCAGTCTGCGGCGATTGAGTGGAATAATAAACCGGAGGGCAGTTATTAAAAATGTTGCTTGCATGACGGAAATCGGGACTGCAATACGGATGTTTAGGCTTCACGCAGAAAGGTTCGACGTTTTTTCCTTAAACCATAAAATATTTTATGAACGTAAACATAGATTTATATAGTTTTAAATTAGGAATTTATATCACAGAATTGTTAGTGTTCACACATTACTGAAATATAGATAAACACGAATTTAGCTTAATTGTTATCAAACAATTAAGGATTTTAATCGACGACTGGCTATCATCGTCATGATAGCCAGTACGACCATTGATTTTGGTCAGATTATCGTCAAGACACAATGGTCGTATTGTCATGACGATGATAGCTAGTTGAGTCGATTAAAATCCTTAATTGTTTATTAACTTTAGGCAAAGTAAATGTTTCTTATTCGGTTTAATTATTATTATGACAAATGCAATATATATATTTATGGTGTACACTGTACAACAAGTGTTGAATTATTTAATTTACTTGCTTATTTATCGATAAATAAGCCAATAAATAATTATTTATTAATATATTGCATCGATGTAAGTGTTCATAATACATTTATTTCATTGAAAATTGACATTTAGTTTATATTTGTCACATTTGTCATAAGAATTTCGTGCACTGTATATAAAAATATAAGTGTTGATAATAACATTAAAATCACTCATTAGCATGTATTTTATATACATGTTTTAAGGTATATCTAGCACTGAAAAATTTAAAGTAACATAAGAGTAACCTAAGATTATCTTTACCTTCATAGCCTGGCTGGCATATACAGGTTAAATCCGGCTCACTCTCAACACTGAAGTGCTCTCCATCTCTATATTCCTTTCCGTTTACATTACAGATAGCTCTGTCTTCGGGATTTTCAGCTACAAGACGTAAATGACTTTATTTAAATGTTATCCATATATTTTTAGGATAGAAAGGTTTTTTTTGTCGGCATGTGGATTGCTATTATTGAATATTAAATTTAATTATGATAAAGCAATTTTATTGTGGCTTTTTGATTAACAAAGTTCAATAAATGTATTAACTAAAAGGGGTATATCGCAAAAATGTAAAATTATTAAAAATTTATATTTTTAACCCTTTTCGGTCACACTTCCCGAGAATCCCGCACCGGTCACACTGGGTGAAATACACCCCCAGCGTATTTGCACGTGTATAAAAAATTGTAGGTGACCTTAAAAAAAAAATATTCTGTTGTAGTTCAAGTCTTCCTTAAAAAGACTGTATAGGTTTGATTTGCAAAAAATTAATATGTAACATACAAACATATGTAAAAAAATTGTTGAAAAAAAAGTCGGAAAAGTGACTTTTCACAAAAACTAATGTAACTTTTTCAATTTTTAAGATATTTTAATTTTTCAAACGGTTTTTTCATCTTAAAAGATGACGCACTTTTCACTGATTATTGCAGTTTATGGCCGTTCCAAAAAGTATGTTGATTTTAAGGTATGAAAGTGCGATTTTTTGCGGAAAAAAAATGCCGAGAAAGAACTAACGGGCCGAAAAATATACCACCGACGGGGATCGATACTTGAAGGTCCCAACTACCTTTAGATGGCGACACAAGGCCCATTTCCATTGGTTTACTGGATCGTTTTCGAAGTCAAAAAACGCTGGGGTGTATTTTACCCCTTGTGACCGAAAAGGGTTAATTATAATGATTTTCTCATCGAGAAAGGACATAATTGGGATATAACGATGCGAATTTAATATAATATTTAAATGCATAAAAACTAGTGTTATCAATTTATCGCGAATATACGTAGAAAATTTATAACTTTTAATTAGATTATTGTGCTTACGACAAACTTCCTCTCCAGGGCAACAATTTAACGGGGATCTCTTTCTATAGCAACCTGGTTTCGCTGGTCCTTGAAAACAATCAACTATCGCACAATTAAATGTGGCGCTATAATAAAAGCAATTACATAATTTTAATAAGAGGAATTTAATAATTAAAATATTAAAAGGAGACAACAATGAAAAAATTGATGTGAAAATCTTTATTTACATTTTATCATATCCTGGGTGGCAGGTGCAACCAATGTCACAAGGATTCGCATCTTCTTCTTTGAGTACCTCTCCGATCTCGTACTCTTTACCATTGACATAACACTTGCTAGTGGATCTCTGTTTTAGATGATCACAGTTGTATTTTGTTGCGCAACAATCGCCCTCTTTCTTAAACACCGGGATACAACCGAGAACCTCGTAATACGCCAGTGGTCCCGGACATTTTGTTTTATCGCATTCCTCTTTACAAAAAAAAAATTTAAAAGAATTTAATGCGATATATTACTGACCTCACAAAAATGGATGTTTACTAGTCAAATAAGAGAATCGTTCTGAATCCTTACAGTTACGTCGTTATTCGTATTTTCGGAATTTTGAGTGGAAACAGAATTATTCACGAAGTCTAAATGTCAAAGTTTGTACAATAATACTGAATCAATTTTAAGAACTCTCTAAAAAAATACGTCGTTTCGTTATCTCTTAAATTTTATTACACTTGGTAAAAACATATTTTTAATTGACAAATTAGTAAATGAAATGATTATTATTATATAAAACGTGATTTATTATAAAGCATTTATTGTTACATAAAAATTTTCTGGCGTTGTAGAAAATGTGTCTTTTATAAAAGCAACGCAATTATAAAAGAATTTGGCAGTTACTTAAAAAATTTAATAGCTTCAACACGCAAATTTTTTTCGCGATTTTACCGTAAATTTATTATTAACTGGAGCTGTAACCCGAGATTACGTTGGAATATTTGATCAAAAATAATAAATGACTTAATTATTGCCTTACTGTAAGATTACGCAGATGAAATCAATATACTCGAGAATAACTCTTTTTGCAACAATTTATCACACGTTTTACGTAAGCGTCGTCTTCTCCATCATTTGCGACTCACCTCGATCATCTGCGACTGTGGTGGTGATGAACGCCAAATAGGCGCATATCTGAATGAGAGAACGAGAGCCACGACATGTCATGTTCGAGCAGCATAAAAACTTTCGCGACTTGCGTAACTTGCGTCTGCGCTGCGTCATTTATACCTCGACCAGTGACCACGATCTGGAAGTGGACACAAACAAGACGGTAAATATATATATGAATGACGCAGACGCAGGGATATGGTATATTGGAAGAGGTGAAATAGTATAGTGTACGGGAGTGAATTGAAACATACGCAAGAAAAAGAGTTAGAGAATTAGAAGGTACAATAGAGAGGAATATGCGTACACTGAGAAACCTTTGGTTGGAATAATCAAATTTTGGTTGACACTGTTGTTCCGGTCACAGACACAACTTAAGTTATTTGTTTCTATATGAGCAAACAAATACTTTTGTTGGAAAAACAAAATAATTTTGTTGCAAGAATATGTATGTGTGGAACCAAACATTTTGATCAAAGAACAAAAGATACAATTCGGCTACAACCAACCCAGTAAGCAAAAAATCATTATTACAATGTTATTGCAACGATATTCTAGAACTTGTAATATTGTTAAATATGTAATGGGTTGAAATGGGAGTGCCATAACGTTGCAAATAACATTGCGTTAAGGTTTTTCTATCATTCCTGTAATGTTGTTGAGATAAAAATTTAAACGTACTATCAACTTTATTACAATATTATATTAAGATTACCGTAATATTAATTCTAACATTTATTTAAAGTTCTTATTGATATTTTATTTCTATTACAGGCAACATGTTTTCAATAAATATGCAATAGTAATAAAATACCTCAATATTTATTGTCTAATTAATATTTAGATTGCTTTTATAGACCAGGCTTGGACAACTTTGAGCTCCAGAACCACGACACTTCTTTTCTATCCACGGAAAGTAGGGGAGTGTCGTGGCTCCGGAGCTCGAAGTTGCCCAGGCCTGTTATATACTAATTTGCATTGGGGAATAATTCACTAATTATCATAAAAAAGTTTTATTTATATAAAAATAATATATACCATATATTACAGTTTTCAGTTTATCACAATAATATCTTTGGTAAAAATCACGGTAATTATGCAGTAATAGGGACCACCCTCCGATGACCTTGACCTTGACATATGTTGTCAAGGTCACCCTAGCTCCTGAGTGACCTTCGGAAGGTTTTAGCCGTCGGTCATTGTTCGTTAAAAAGTTATAAACAAAAAAAGTTTGAAAAATACAGCAGCTATTTTGAGTATTGGA